GCTCAAAGCGAACTTGAACTTTTGAAACTAAAAACCGAAAACGGTCCGATATAGTTGTTTTATATGTAGCATAGAATAGAAAAAATAATTTGTGTTACTGCTGCAAGAGTATTTACACTTCGGCTTGTGGAATAAAGCTTCTTCACTTGTTAATAACTTGTTTTGCCAGCCAAAACAATTACATATACTTTATTATTAAGGAAATCATGTTTTCAAACCGAGGTTTTTATAAACGCAAATTTTGGTTATTCCATAATGAATGAACTTGCTGCATAGTGTTAAACCCTATCGAATGCGTAGCTGCAAGAAATTGCAAATGTTTTTATTATAAACAAAGAGCATGGCTGCGTGTGTGTGGGTGGTTGGCTTGAACTTTTCCCGCTTTCAAGTCGAAATCGATGCGCATCAATATTCAATATGTAGCTTTTACTGGCCACATGAGAGGGCGGTGGGGAGCCGCAAGAAGTAGCAAACCCAATCATGCCGCGCAGCCATCGCCATCTGATGTTTGCTTTACGTAATGGAATTGTGCGGTGAATGCCGCGTGCCACATTTTATCCTTGTCTTGCCCTCGCTTTCCCTCTTTCTTTCCCTTTTTTTGGCCTTTGTGACTTTTGGTGTCTGTGAATTTTCCTTGGCCCGCCATATGTCGAATCCACCAGTCGAAGCCCTTTCAATTGCTTTTACCGGCGCCCGTCAGCATTCCTTTGCTGTTTACCCTCGACTTTAATTAAATAAAAATATGCATATGAACTGGCAGCAGTTAATGGAAAACTCCCAGCCTTGAGCTGATAATAATTATTATCTGCTTGGCAGATGCTGCCTATAGACGATATGATAAGCAAATGTTTCTCTAATTCCAATCGAAAAGTCATTTGCCTGGGAAGTTAATAAGCAACAGAATTTCTTAATTAATATAGCATGCTAATGGCAATCGAAAGCCTAACGACTTCAGTTCGATTGTGTTTGGGTTCTGTGTGCAGTTTTAATATTGATTCGGAGCTAAAGATGAATATTGCGCATACGCCATGTTGTGCAACAAAGCAGACACGTGCTCGTATTAGCAGCCAGCTAAGTGCTGTTATTCTACAGTTTTACACCACAATTACCAGCTCCCACACGCGGGCAACGTGTCAAAATCGACACCAACACATGCTTTTCTCTCTACCCCCAACCACCTACCCCTCGACCAGCACTTGGCCAACACCTTACGTCCCTAAAACATCCTTTCCCCGGATTACACCATCCTACGTGTCCTGGGATACCCGCGTACGTGTCGAATTCCAAAAAGCTACGCCAGTCATAACTGTAAGACAATGTCTGTGTGTGATGTGATGACGGGTACGTTGTCACGCAGCTGAATGGGATTCCGGGAAGGGAAATTGGGCGGGGATGGACGTGAAGGTGATGCAAAGCAGCGCTAGTTAGTATGTCATGTGCATGTTGGCATATTTCGCTGGAGACCTACCTTCAGTTCCGCCAACTCACCCACCAATTGTCTCCTTTTTGAACAACTTTATACCCTTTCCGAGGACATTGTAGGTTACTTAAGGTACTTCCGGCTGCTATAATTTATAGGATGTTTCCCGTTCGTTGTCCCCAAAAATGACCTATATTCATCATTTTTTGAATGCCAAAAATTATATAAAGCCTTTAACCTTAGTTTCTGTTTATGATCATTTAAAATAATTTCTTGCGTAATTTTAAAATTGAATAAAACGTAATTTTAAAAGAGCATATTTTGTTACAAATCCTAAACAGTAGGATTTAAAAATTTTAGTTTTTGGAACGGTGCAACCCTTTTTATTTTCTGAGAAGATACAGAAATATTTCAAAATGTTTTTTTAGAAAATTAAACTTTATGACAATTTTAAAATGACTAAGTCTCATAAAATGGAATAAATTGTTTAAACTTCGAGTGGAAGCAATGATAATTATTTGTATTGTGCATTTTTTTTTTTAAATTTTGATCGGGTTTAAGCACCTTTTTTAACAAAAAAATCCTTATGAAGTGAATGGGAAAATTTATGAAAGTTCTATAATAATTTCTAGTAAAATAAAATAATAAATATAATTAAAATAAAAACAGGCGAAAGGCTTAAGACTAACCTTAAAAAAATGGTATTAGAAACAAAATTTGAAGTCATTTTGCTAATTAAGAAGTCCATCTGCTCCGACAAAAAACATTGATCTCTGGATTAAATTAGAGTAATTAATTTCATATTTCTTAATGATTGTTTCTTTTTTTTTCTAAAAAATAAAACCCATCAAAGAAGAAGAAGTCGTGACTTCTGCGTCTAATTTTTTACCACTGTTGTTTTATATAATTTTTAAAGGGATCACAGAACTACCACTACTCTATTTTTTTTAGTTCCAACCTTAAAAAATAAATTAATTTCCTGAGTTTAATTTTATTCTACAAAATAAAGTTCAATATAGAACTCAAATTATAAATACAAGTGTAATGTAAAGTTTATCGTTAAGAGTATTCCTTCTTGTAGTTAGCCATTTATTTTCGGTTTTTGTCGTGGCCCTGCAACAAACTTGTATCGCAACGAAATCATATTAGGGTAACATTCTGGCAGCCACCAACTCTGCCACCACCCACATTTTTCAACAGCGAGTGTTTTCTCGTGTTTTTCAGAAGCGCTACTACGTGTCCTTCCGAGCTCCTCTGGTTGATGATGATGTTGTTTTTGTCTTACGCTGGGCCATGCTCCCAGTAAGAAAGGAGTGTAGAACACTATACAAACTTAAGAAAACAACCAAAATTAATTTCAAATAGTCTGCAAACCGCTTAAGAGATAATCACATTATTTATAAGTACCACCAGGAGCCACCACCATTTTAATTATTGTTTTGGAAAAGTGCAAGCTAATAAGGATACAATTTCCCAAATATTTAGTGGTTTTTAAGGTGAAAGAAACCGATTGTATTAACAAGCCCAAGTGAGAATTTTACCATATTTGCAATTGTATATAAAACTTAAATTTTAACATTTAAAAAAAATATTCTTTTTTTTTTTGTAAAATAAAGGGGTTTCAACAGCAGATTCGCAGATAAGTCATGGTTTAGATAATTTCGCACTGTGCATTAATGTAAGTGGAAATACACCGGCGACAGGTTGTGGCACATGTGTCAGATGCACGCAGACTACAATATAGTGACATCATTTTGATGTCAATTATTTTTCGCCCAACAGTCGATTTGGTTTGCTGGTAACTACACATAAAAAATTAATAATTTCAGTCAAAAGTTTGCAACCCAGTAAAGGCGACATTGACGACACTATCAAGTATATATAAAAAAGTATAACTTTGTTGTCTTTAATTTTTTTTTTGTTCTTCTAGATTTAATAATATTTAAATACTATGGAATTACGGTTTTTATTAAACTAAAACGGACATCTATATCATATAACTCCCATAAAAAATTAAAAAATTAAAAAAAAAATATATTGAAAAAAAAAAAATTATTTTGCTGTATTTATCAAAATATTCCTTTCAGACATAGTAATTACTTACTATATCAGAATTACGCTTTTAGTTTTGTCAAAATCGGCCAACCATAGAAACGATGGCAAAATGCAGCGCAAAATCGAAATAGCTTAATTATTTTTAGTAATATAGGCCTAGAAATCGAAATGTAGTCGTATTGTAATAACTGCAAGGGTATCTAAACTTCGGCCTGCCGATGTCTGCTTCCTTTCCTCTTTATTATATTTTCTTTCTTTATGCATCAATATTAAACGAGATACGATTAGAAAGAAATCGTTAACCAAGTTATGAAATGAATGAAAATCAACTTGTTACTTTAACTACCTACAATAGAAATAAGACTTTAAGATGCAACAGTTTTCGTAGACGGTCAAGATCAGTCTCTGCTGTTGATCCTTATCATGAATGTCTCTTTTACAGCGTTCCAAAATTCTGACTAAAATTATAATACCGTCAATACTCTATATTTTGTTGAGTGCAAAACCCAAATCGAGCCAGCAGCAAACCGGAACCCACGAACCCGTTACGAGTACGTCAAACCTTTGACACATTTTCAGTTGCGGAGCGGGATGACTTGAAGGTGCGGTCGATGTGGGATGAAAAACTCCCTCTGAAGAGTGGATCCCCTTTGGCGTAATGAAAACTCGCCCCCTTCCAACTGGCGCCAAATGCCAAGGGGAAGGGAAACCGTGGGCGGAAATACAGATACAGTCGGTCCAAATGACATCAGCAATGGGAATGCTGCTCGTTAATTGCCAAAAATAAAGTAAAGCAGGAGCGACAACAATTCCGGAGTTGCTGCGTTTTTTTCGCTTTGGCACAAAAGTATTTTAATTGCTTTGGCAGGATGGAGGCGAAAACAGCAAGCGATGGAATGGCAAATCATATGAATATAGGAAATTTTAAAATAGAATTTTAACCATTCGAAGCGAAGGATAGTAAAGTAAAGTGAGTAAAATTAAAATAAATAATTGAACAAAAACATAAGCCATTGCTAACATGTAGTTTGCATTAATAGGACACCGTAATCAAATCAGTGCAGAAAAGGCGTTTTTTCCATGCCCAAGGTTTTAACAAATTGTTATTTTTTGTCCCCCTCATTAACAACAGTCTAACAACTTTGGAATTTTATTGGCTCAACACGCTATCTGGGTATCTTTGCTGAAAAAATATCCTCTTAACTCAAGTAATAGTACTTTTAAATTTTGTCTGGCCCTTTTTTAAATAATTTTTAATTTTAATTTAAAGACTGTCATCAAAATGGTAATTAATAAAGTTCAGTAGTTTCTTCTAAAAATAATTTTAGGTTATGGCAATGTTGCTTGAAAAAACTTACAACAATAAGTTTTCGAAAAGCTAATACTCAAGAAACTTGGCCAAGCCGTCGAGGCTAGACATATAAAACAAGAACGCAGGAAATTGGTTCATCCTTTATCCTTGGCCTGTCTGTCCCAATTCCTTCTCTCCCCCTCATACTTTGCCCGCCTGTAGAGTTGCCACCAAAAACGTCACATTTCTCGGATCTCCCTTCAGGCCCCAAACAATGTGAAATTTAGAAATGTAAATTTAAATGCTACTTCAAACCCAGATCGACTCTTTCCCAACCGTTCAAGCACAACAGAGACGGCAGCCATGTCGAAAGAAGACAGTGGCGCATCCAGCGCGGAGGCGAGTCGGGCCGAATCGGAGATTACGATGGGACCCGGACCGCGTACTGGCCCGCAGCGGAGAAGGTCCTTGGGCGGCAGCGGAGGAGGTGACGGTGGCACAGGAGGCGGTGGCGGGGGCGGTACCAGCGGCGGCAGCGACCCGAGATCCGAAAGGAGCCCCCGAGAGGCCGACGCACTCGACCGCGCGACGGAGCCGAGGTCGACTCACCGGAAACTCCTGAGCGATCCGCGCTTCCGGATCCGGCCGCTGCAGCAGGTGATCTCGGCCTGTGCCGGGGCCATGATCACGGCATGCTTCATGACGCCGCTGGACGTGATCAAGACCCGCATGCAGTCGCAGCAGTCGCCGGCGCACAAGTGCTTCTTCTATTCGAACGGCCTGATGGACCACCTTTTCTCGAGCGGTCCGAGTGGCCACCGGCCGAGGCCACAGTTCTCCAGCACCTGGGATGCCCTGATGAAGATCAGCCGGTACGAGGGACTGGCCGCCCTGTGGTCCGGCCTGGGGCCCACCCTCGTCTCCGCCCTGCCCTCCACGATCATATACTTCGTGGCCTACGAACAGTTCAAGGCCAAGTACCTCCAGATGTACGAGCGCCACATGAACTGGAGCCCGGAAGCCCGGCAGCTGGGTCTCAGGTAGGATCAATCGCCGTAGCCATTTCGTATTAAATATCCCTTGAGCTTTAATTGCAAGGCCCTTAGAGCTACAAGCTTTTTCTTTAACTTTAGATACTTAAATTAAGTATGAAAGGCAGCTAAGAGAGAAATAAATGCTGCATAAATAAAGGTTGATCAAATAAATTCCTGCAAAATGTTACTTAAAACAAAAATAGAAAAAAACTTCGGCAAGCCAAAGCTAAAATACCCTTGCAGCTGTTAAAAAAATAAAATATTCTAGTTTAAATTTGAATGCGTATATGCTTAAAATCAATGAAGCTATGTCGATATTCAGTTAAGTTTTCGATCGTTCCTAAGCTGCACGAGTCGTAGGACTTTCATAAAAAGTAATATTGTAGCTCTGGAAATGTCAAAAATTTGTTCATTTATTTTGTGATTGTTCCTTTAGAAGCCATATGATCCAGTCGTCCGATTCGGCCCGCTCCGTCTTATATACAACCTGCCATTGAAATAACCATTTTGGGACTGTTTCATAATGTAAAAGTTTCTCATCTTAAATTGAGAGCTTAATACGGGCAAACGGGCAAGGCTAGATTCACTCTCTTGGTGATGCTGATCAAAAATAAATATACATAGGTGTTGCAAACTTTTGACTCAAATTATAATACGGTCTGCAAGGGTATAAAGACAACATTTTCAAAGCAAATATAATGGTTGGTTTAATATTTGTGGTATACTTCTCATACTCCTTAGCCAAATCCCACTACCCGTAAAGATTAAGACCCGCGAGTGATACTCAGATAAAAAATTAATCCGATTGAATTAACAACAGCTGGGAAATCTCCTTTCAGTTTGGAGTAAAATCCCGATAGTCTTAGTCAAGGTCATTTATTTAAGGAACGTACACTGTTAAACATGTGATTTCTTTGAATAACTATTAAAAATTATTAGGAGTATCAGCATTATTGTTAAAAGATGAAAGCAAATAAGCATTATAGATGTATTCATACCTTCCTTAGGGACACCAAGACGAGCCTGCCGCTGGTAATTCCCATGATGTCAGGGGTCACGGCTCGCGTGTGTGCAGTTACGGTGGTGAGTCCCATCGAACTGGTGAGGACCAAGATGCAGGCCCAGCGCCAGACCTACGCCCAGATGCTGCAGTTCGTCCGGAACGTAGTGGCGCTGCAGGGCGTTTGGGGACTGTGGCGGGGTCTGCGGCCCACGATCCTCAGGGACGTGCCCTTCTCGGGGATTTACTGGCCCATCTACGAGTACCTCAAGCAGAACCTTGGCCAGAGCTCGCAGCCCTCATTCAGTCTCAGTTTCTTGGCCGGCGTGCTGGCGGGATCAGTGGCCGCCATCGTGACCACTCCGTTCGACGTGGTCAAGACCCACGAGCAGATCGAGTTCGGAGAAAGGGTCATCTTCACGGACTCGCCGGCGAGGGATTTCGGAAAGAAGTCGACCTACAGCAGGCTGACGGCCATTTACCGGATGCACGGAGTCAGGGGACTTTTCGCTGGATGCGGACCTCGGCTCTTGAAAGTGGCACCTGCGTGCGCCATCATGATCTCCACCTTCGAGTACAGCAAGTCCTTCTTCTTCTACTACAACGTGAGGCACCACAACGAGGCTCTACTGTTGGGCAACCCGAACGCCAAGCTGGTCAAGGAGGATGACATTGAGTAAGCCGGCGAGGGGGGACTTTGTGGGTAGGTGGGCGGGTTATGTAGTCAAGACGGCTCCCTTTTGTAAATAAATATACGGACCACGAGCGGCGAGGCGAATTCAATATCCCAATTAAGATGCGCGTCGCTTTTCGAGTTACGTCAATGAGGCGACGGCCGGGAAATCAATTTGCATTTTCGCAGCTTAAAGACTACGGTTGCCTGTTGCTCCGAGTTTGCCGCGCGCCGAGTTGACTTTTAATGACATATTCATTCATTTACATTAACTGCAAGTTGAGCGGGCGCAAAGAGAAATTAAACGGAATTGCCCAAGGTAAACTGGCCCAAGAGCTGCAACTATCCAGAGAAAAACTGTGCTCGCTTTTCCTGCACATGCCGCCTTCAGACTGCATTTTCCAGTTCAAGATTTCCGCCAGCCATAAACGAATTTACTTTGTTGGCTGGTCACGTTTCACCATAGTTTCCACCACTGCTAATGCCATCGGAGCCCAGGGCCCATGTCCAAAATACTTCGGTGATTGCAGAAAATCTATAAATCAGTTGGAAATATCGAAACTAAAGAGAGTAATTAAGAAGTGTTTGTTAGCCCAGGGGGTTTCAGTCTGAACTTAATTGCATTTTTGTGACCGATTTTGATTCGTTCTCTTTTTACCTACAGCAATTTTGCTTGAATAACTCTCCTATTACAAAAAACTGTCCAAGCGAAAGTTTCATTTTTTTGAATGTCCTTTGTTTTTTAATAAGGCGCAAAGTATACAAAGCATTCCCAAACACAAACTCCGGAAGCAGGCTGTCAGTAAAAAGCAGGAAAAACATATTTTGTTTTTTTCTCTGGTCGGACATAAAAAAATGGATGGAATTATTTCTGGGGATGTTTGGGGAGGGTCATAGCAGATAAAACATAATATTTTTCGTGTTCCTTTATTTTACCTTACTTAAGCGATACACACGCCGAAGGTGTCAAAGTGTGGCTGCCACAATTACGGGTATTTTTCGCAACCATCGCGGAATTTGTGGCAGTTCAATTAACTGTGCAGTCTTTCCGATCGAAACCGCTGATGAAATAATTCGAGCAGCGCGCAGATAAATCCTACTTTTTCTGCAAAAATCTGAACATTAAACTTATTTTACCGGGCCTTTTATTGATGTGTTAGCCAGTAAGGCTACTATTCACTACCATTTAAATAAAAGAAAACTTGCTGCGACCGGTCGCTTTTTCCTGATTTCTTATTTTCTTTTTTCGGAAAACGCATTATTAACAAGAAAGGAAAGCTAACTTCGGGCGGAGCCGAAGTTGATATACCCTTGCAGAATACTCTGTAAATTATATTCTCCAAAATTATTCATATGATGCATTCTTAATACTCATAAAAAATCCCAACTTCCTAACTTTAAAAACACCAAAGTTATGACATTTCCAATCGTTCAGTTATATGGCAGCTATAGGATATAGTCGGCCGATCCTTATGAAATTTGGTAGGTCGGATTGGGTGGCCAAATATAACACCCATAGAAAATGCCAACTTCCTAACTTTACAAACACCAAAGTTATGGCATTTCCGATCAATCAGTTATATGGCAGCTATAGGATATAGTCGGCCGATCCTTATGAAATTCGGCATGTCGGATTGATTAGCCAAATATAAAACCCATAGAAAATCCCAACATTCTAACTTTACAAACACCAAAGTTATGGCATTTCCTATCGTTCAGTTATATGGCAGCTATAGGATATAGTCGGCCGATCCCGGCCGTTCCGACTTATATACTGCGTGCAAAGGAAAGAAGGGTGTGTGCAAAGTTTCAATTCGATATCTTTAAAACTGAGAGACTAGTTCGCGTAGAAACAGACAGACGGACAGACAGACGGACAGACAGACGGACAGACAGACGGACAGACGGACAGACGGACAGATGGACAGACGGACATGGCTATATCAACTCAGGAGGTGATCCTGATCAAGAATATATATACTTTATATGGTCGGAGATGTCTCCTTCACTGCGTTGCACACTTTTGACCAAAATTATAATACCCTCTGCAAGGGTATAAAAATACTTGTCGAAAAAGCCGCCCGAGGGGAGTATTCAATGCTTAACTTTATATATTTCCCCTTTTTTCATATTGGTATTCTCGATGCTCGACGCAAATTGCCAATAAAGCAAATTAAAATATGCTTTTATAAAAATAATGGAAATTAAATTTAAGTGAATATCTCATTTGTGCCGAGCGTGTATGTGTGGATGGCGCATTTTTTGCTGAACCGCAACCAGAGACCTCTGGCTATTCGGCACTCCGTTCCTTTTCTTTCCCTTTGTCTTCCAGCTACTTTGGCACTTTGTTGTTGCCGAGGGCAGGCGGTGGTGTTGGTTGTGGGGGCGTGGCGCTTGTCTATATATTTTCCGCAGGCTGTTGCTCGCCAGTGTTTTTTGTTGTCAGCATCAAAAATATTTTCCCTGCCGCAAAAAAAGGAGAAAATGGGAGGCAGGGAGGAAAAAGCTGTTGATAGGGAACAGATCCGCCCGTCCGGGTGTCCTTCAGCTGTCCCAGGGCCATCCTTCACCATTTGCCTGCTGTGTGTTGTCAGCCTGCGAGTTCCATATTTTTTCCTCGCCGTATTGTATTTGCATTTAATTGTGGCATTAAAAATACACCGGAACACGTCGTACTACGGCCCGGCCTGGTCGGATCCTTATTTATGGCCCTGTCCGTCTTCGTCGGCAGTCTATCTCATTTCTGGTCCTGTTTTTGCCCGCTCACCATTGACATTGTGTGGGCGTGGCCGTGGGAATGGGAATTCGATTTATTTGCCCCGTTCCCACAAACAAACGGGAGGCCAGCCCATGAAAATGATTTAAGATTGGATTATTGGGTGACAAACTGTGAAGAAATTAAAGCGCTGACAGTGTCGTCGATTGACAACTGAACTGTTAATTGACTAATCAAATCAAACACGCTTAAGCGCCCAGATTGCTTTGAGCACTTCTTTTTTCATCGAGTTCTTTAGGTATTTTTCTTAAAGGAGCTGTGAATAGCATAATCTAGGGCTTAAATTATCCCAAATTTTAAACATTGTGAAATAGTCTTTCGTAATTACATGTCTTATGCACTGTTGAAAGATTTTAGTTTTTATTAATTTAGTTTTTGATAACTAATAAAAACAAACCTTTTACCGTATAAAAAAAAACCTTATCCAATTTTTTGTTCAACGACTAAACTTAAATAAGTACTTTTCTAAAGTGCCCAAGGCGGCTGCATCTATATTTCAAGAACTATTTGTTTAATTGTTTAATTTTATGCGCGGAGCTAGTTGAAACTTTATTAAAATGCGAAATTGTACAGCGCGCAATGGGCGGGGAAGCGGAAGGACTTTCAGCCCCTAGTTAGTTAAAATTTCCGTTTCCCCTGAACCAACAAAATTTCTATTTCAATTTCAGTTTCCCTTTTTTCTTGGCCAAACATCCGCCCCGATTGTGGCCTTCTTGAAGGCTAATTGTTGGCACTAGCCGTGTATGAGGGGAACCCATTGCCATTCTTGACCTTTCGCCCGGCGAGTGTTTAATTAATTTTGATAACTAAGGCAAATAAATTGCAGGCGGTGCCATTGCCCCCGAGTTGAAAATGAAAAAGGAAACGGACCGACTTAAGTCTATTTAAAAATGAGGCCGAATTTTTCACACTTCATGGTCATGCATCACCAAGTGATGGATGGAGATCCCGAGACGTCTTTAAGGGCACTGCTTTCTATTTTTTAATTAGCGAACCTTTTGCCCTGCTTATCCCTTTGGCGTCGGCGTGTTTACACTGTACCTGGGCACGCAGGATTTTAATTAAAAAGCACGAAATTGACAGGCTGAAAAAATAATGTTTACCTTTTGCCACCGTGTCGGGCGATTGTTTGACGGGCATTTGGCAGCCCTATTTTTTGGGCAACCCGAGTGGATTTCTTACTTAATTCCAGCCACTTGATTATTCAGACTCCACACACTGGAGCGCGAAATTGTAATCAGTGCGGTCATTTTTCGTATTTTTTCATTAAATGTTTGTGTGCTCTTTGTAAGAATCTAATTGCGGTTAATTTGGCTTTTTATAAATGCAGGCCCGTCCACTTCACACCACCGCTCATTTTGTTGGCCATAAGTTATGCAAGGTTTTTCTTGTTTCTCTAGCAATTTTGGCTTTCGGTTTTCCTTTTCGTGGCCGGATAAATTATTAAAGCGATAATGGGGCGTAAAAGTCATAACTTTGGGCTGTAAATTGGGGGCTTTCTTGAAGGTTTTTGGGTCTGGTCCTGTCAAGTGCATTAAACATGAGGCAAGGGTTTTGCTTTGTTTTGTTTTGGGGCTCTAGTTCACTCAACTGAGATAATTTGCTAAGTCATTTCGGAAACGGATCTACCACTTGCTGTATAGCCGCCAAATGGCTTACTTATTTCAAATGTAATTTATGGTAATCGCTGTCTTAATAACAAACCAATTAGAAAGTTTCCCATTATTTAATCAGATTTTGCTATTTGCCAACGAAGTCCGCCTGCCAGCCGGCAGAATTTGTCCTGCCAACAACTGCTCTTTCCCTAGGTAGAAAACTTAAAGATTTTCCCTTTTTCGCTGTTTTTCTTACGTTACGGTACGTCTGCTCCGTTTATGAATAATTCATGAGGTAACTTTATAAAAATAACGCACAAATGGCACTAAAACAAGGCAAGTGGAATGTCAGCCTTTGAGCAGAATTTTAAATGCTCTGAAAGTGTTGGAGGTGGAATTGAAGTGAATTGAATTTTGATTGCAAGTCATCTTTGGAGACCAATTAAGACAAAGAAGTTTACCTATTGCCTAGAAACCACTTTGTACTATATTTGCAAACCCCAACTCATTTGTAAAATAAATGTATTACAAATACTATATTTGTTTATATTTTCCCTTTCAGTAATATTGGTTAGTATACCGATTCTTAAATACATGTATATTTTATTATTAAAAAAATATACTTATGCACTTTTTGTCAATAAGCTCATGTCCTGAACGTTGCTTTACAAATACTAAGAGCAAGTATAGGGAAATGGCGAAGAAAAAAGTTTCCCCTAGACCGTATCTGGGTAGCATATTATGCTAAAAG